AAGGTCTTTATCAAGCTCGGATGGAAGAAGCTGCACAAGTACTACAACTGTCTGACTAGCGCAGCTTATGTCGGCGCTGTTGTCTTCAACCCGGCGAAGAAGTGGCGCCTTCTCGATCAACTGTGGTCTCGAGTGCCTTCTCGTAAGGCCAAGGGTTGGCGATTAGAGTACGAATCCCAGCTCTTGGAGATCTGGGAGAGTTACAGGGAACGCGAAGTTGACTACGAAGTCTTCGCTACATCTGACGAGGCCTCAATGGATTACATTGAGCGGAGACTTGCCAGGAGTGTAGCTGGGTCGCCATGCGCCCAGGGTTCGTCCTTGGCAGTGTCCAGTGCCCGCAAGAGCACCCGAAAGACGAAACACACGACAGCAGGAGCGACTGCTGATGACGAATATGCTCGGTACTGTGCTGAGGATGTTGTCAACAGTCACCACTACAGAAGCAGGCCGATTGACTGGTGGAAAATCAACAGGAATCGGTACCCGCGACTGTCTCTGATGGCGGTTGATATGCTCACCATCCCATCGTCGTCTGCGGAGAGCGAGAGGACATTTAGCAGTGCAGGACGTATGACGGCACCGTTGAGAAGTCGGCTGAGGAGGGAGATAGTGGCGATGGCTCAGTGCATTCGATCATGGAGTAAAGCTGGGATCTACACGCCTTCACTGCCGCTGGTTAGCCTCAGTGATGATCAATGGGTTGACGCACTTGCGTCGCTGAGGGGGACGAGTGACATTTAATCTGCCTAGTACCTGCCTTTGCACAATTGACGATGTTCTGCGATGTCTTATCTGAAGCCGTGATACCTTCTAAACCCGCTCTGCACCTCTCACCACTCTTCTGTCGGGGTATGACGGCATGACGGCCTGGTGATGATGACGACGGTCCATTTGGTTCTAGGTCCTATTGGTGTTTCGGTCTCCGCCGGGATTAGTTCTACGTTCGATCGAGTTCGAATCGAATTCGATCGAATCTTGGCATTCGATAGATATCGAATCTACGGAAGACATGTTCGATTCGAGTCGAATCTACGGCACAAGAATTGTGGCGCGTTCGATTCGATACGAATCTGCGGGAGATGTGTTCGATTCGAGTCGAATCTACAGGACAAGAATTGTGGCACGTTCGATTCGATACGAATCTGTGGGAGATGCGTCCGATTCGATTCGAATCTACGGGGTCACATTCGATTCGAACGCCAAGGCTTGGCGTTCGATTCGATAGATTCGTAAGATGTCCATCCCTGCGTTCAAGACCTTATCAAAGAATAGGTCTTTAATACGCTCACGTAGTTGTTCAGAGTCTTCGGTATACTGCCTCATGGAAGCATTCCAGATCTTCAGGTTGCGATATACGGTCGTACGTTGAACTTCGATGTGGAATTCGTTATTAAGGCGCTGTACGATTTGTTTGAGCGTGAGACCGTCGTCGTTTTTCCATTGTTGAATCTGAAGGCGAAATGGGGATATATCAATTGAAGGGCGACCCCTAGGCATCTTGAACCGTATGTTGCCGTACGTAGTCAAGTGTAGGCGTAGGGAAAGAGAGGAAGTCTGAGTTGAGATTGCGCGATTTAATTTTGAAAAAGGGGGTTTGTTACGTTTGTGATCGTATGGCGCCAAATTGCCTCATGCATAATATGTTTAGCCTCACTTGGTCAGACCCACAAGATTTTGAACAAAATGTCATAAGTGAAACACAAAGCATGATCAAAGAAAACTTGATTTCAGACTCTAGCTAAGAAAAGGGTATCATAGTTCACCGTACGTCCTCGTGCGCTAATATACGCGAATGTATTCTGCGTTTCCTCGTAAATCAAAAAAAAAAAAAATTCAACTCAGAGCGAAGTGACTAGGCGGACTACGGGTAAAAAAAAAAAAAAGAGTTAGTAGAGGCTCGTACATTTACGTATTGGGTCAAATACCTTAAGCCGACTTCGAAGAGGTGCCTTTCTTGTGCTTCTTGCGGTTGGTAGCTGCCTTGAAGATCTGCACAAGCTTCTGGCAGGTCTTGAGGTCAAGGTCTTCGAACGGGTCCGTATCATCACTGTCGGAATCGTCGTCGTCGTCGTCGTCGCTAACCTTGCGCTTGGTACCACGCTCTTGTGGCCAATCAGTATAGAAAATGAGAACGTATTGCAGCGTACTTACTCGTGAAGGAGCAGGCGGCGCCAGATCGGTTCCAGTCGCAATTAGCGCAGGCCGGGGTCCCCTCAGCGACAATGCATCCCTTGAGGGCCCCGTTGTTCTTCGTACACTTGTAGCAACGGTCCGTACCCTCCCGTTCGTCGCCGTACAGATGACGCAGCATAGCGTCGCAATTCTGGCCGCTGCTGAAGTTCATCACGTACGGGGTCTCCTGGAGCTTCTTCTTGTCCTTCTTGCTGCGGATCTCCAGCAGGCGTGGGGTCTAATACGGGTTAGTACGTGATCAACCAGGCTAGTACAGGCCTAAGATAAAGGACATACCTTGGTAGAGTCAACAGCTTCCTGGCCCTTGGTGGTGCTGCCCTTCAAAGCGTTCATCAGAGCCCAGATGGTGGCCTCCGGATTTGTATCGGGCTTATCGGTCTTGTACGCGAAAGTATAGGTCTCAACGTCAAGGACCTTCTTGGGCAGCAGGTTGAATGCGCGCTCGCCCATATCCTCGCGTAGGGCGTCGATCGCAGCCGTATCAGCAGCAGCAGGGGTCTCCTTGGTCTTGGGGCGGTTGCGGTTGCCTCGGGGCGCCATGATGATGTGTACCAAGCCGTATTGCGTGAGAAAGTGTGCGTACGGAATCGAATTGGGCCAGCGAGGGGAGGAAGGATCGTCAACTGGTGCTGCGTGGTTAGGTAGAAGAGATTTACGCCGCGCGAACAGTGATTTAGATGAATGACTAAGCACATGCAAGGTAAAATAATCCTACAAACGGGGCCGTACGGGGGTCCGCCCGGGGGAAAGGGGGGGGGTGACCCAATTCAAAAATCTTCAAAATTGAATTTTGGAACTCTGCCCCTTGTGGCCTTCCGTAATAGAGGCACAGTAATTATTATTAGCGCTCCCAGCTAGCAGTGTGAGCACCGCACCGCCAAGCCCATCACCACCACTGTTGAGAGCTCCAAAGTCCACCTCATCACTTCAACTTCGCCCCCTCTCAAGCCATCGGAGACCACGCTGTCCGTACACGATCTCGATACCACCGGAAACGCCCCCAGACTTGAACTGTCGCGCAGAGCCGGCTGTCAGCTGCCGCGCCTGCCCCAGCCCCCTGCGCTCCTCGACCGACACCATGAAGGCGAGCTGCCGATGAGGTGGCCGACTGAGACGACATTTCAGACACTGCTGCGCACGTCGTCGTTGCGATGACATCTACGCCTCAAGAGGGGGAGCCTGGGCCTAAAGCTCCGCTGAAACCCAGGCCTAGGCAATCCCTCGAAGATGGGCCCTTCGTCTTGCGATCGCTGCTCGACGAGGTGCCCCTCTTTGCAGATGGCACAGACGAGGACATCAGGATCAATTGTGTCGACTACCTAGGTTCGCAGAGGTTTGACAAGCCTCGGTATGTTCATTGCTGACCGACGCTCCTTAGACCACAATCTATACGTCGGAACATCCGCCTTGGAGCTCCTCCACTTCGTCAAGATACCCCCAGACCCGTCAGACCCGACCGGAAAACCCGTCTTCGTCCTCGCTTCGCGACTCCGCCCCGCCTACGTCGAACCATCCGGTACACTTGCGAGCTCACGCTCCGGAGTTCAACAGATACTTATGCTCCCTCAGGTTGGAAAGGCGTGCAACTCGACACGACTCACGTTAAGAACTGCAACCGGATCGGCGGTGAATTATTTAAGGTATCCCCAAGGACGAGCGCATGATCTCCGCTATGCCGCCCTGGCTCCTATGGAAGCTTCTTGGGTCCGGACCTCTAGAGAGTCTCAGCCCCTTTCCGGCAGCAGATTCTGTCCGGTTTTTATGGATGGAGTCCGGAATTGGTTTGCCCATCTACCGCTTCTGATAAGCAAATGCCTTTATTCCGTGTCGAACAAGCGCCTAAAAGTACTAACCTTGCAAAAATCGCAGCTACATGGCGTGCTTCCGTTTCCATGGTGGTCACATCCGAATTGCTGATCTCCCTCCGTTCCGCAACAGGTCCACCGGAAACCTTGTGGCCAGTACTCGTACATCTTCTCCTCGTTGGAGTTGAATTCCTTCTCGAATTTCTCTTTCAATTCGTCGGATTCGGAAGCTAGGCAATTTCCCCATCCCATGCGGTCCCCACCGGCCGTGGATGTCCAGGTGATCAATTCAAGCTTTCCTTCGTGCGAACAGCCATCCTCGCACCTGCGATGACGGTTGTACCATTGTCTCGACGTGGGCATACTGGTGGTCGATGACATTGTTAATGTCTGGAATTACCGTTTCTCTTCCAAGGGACTGATCGGAATGAAAAGGAAAGATGGGAAAAGAGAAGAGAGAAAAGGAGAAAGCTGAGGGAAGGACGCGGCTTTTATGTGGGGCCACGTGGAGCAACAAGAGGACGGCGCCAAACCCGATCCGGGGCAGTCTATCCATGCCTAGAGGAACAAAGGTTCTTCCTTCCGCACTTCTGACCCTACGCACGGGCCGCATGCCTTGAGGAACATGTTCCGAAAGGTTCTTTGCCTTTGAGGAACGAAAAGGTTCTTTGCCTTTGCCTTTCGGAACGAAAGGATCTTCCTTCCGCCCCCTCCGGAAGCCACCACCCCTAAACACCGCCACCACCGCCACAAAACTGAGCCCCAAACTGAGCCCCAACTGAGCCACAGTTGAGCCTCTACGCGAGCCACAATCGAAGAGCCACAGCCTGTGATTGAGCCACAGCTTCTGTCCCAAAATCCCAGGATCCACAACCCGGAGAGCCTCATCAACCTCAGCCAAAGCCAATCTCTTCCCGCCATAGTTATCTCAAGGGAGAGTGGCCAATCGTCTTTGCTCGTTACAAAAACTGTTACTTCCACATAACAATTCACCCCACCCTAAGTTTCTTGGGCATCTTGCACCTTCCACGAGCTCACCCTCTTCCTTGGCGTCCCGTCTCTGCCCGAACTAGCCCCTCGCTTCAGGGAGTTCCTGCCTTGGATCGGCGCTTCATTTTCTTCGGACCCCGTTGCTACCGTCACTGAAGCCTCTGTTTCTGCCGGTAAGAGTAAGTCTGATGGCCTGGGCCTGTTCCTCATGTGACCACATACCTGCGCCGGCCCCGCATGTGTCATCCGAGGCGGAACTTGCTAAGCCATGAGTTAGTAGAGCCCCTCTTCTCCCGGGCTCTTGGAAACACGAACCGGTTGAGTCCTGTTGCGACCCGAACAGCCGCTTCGCTATCGGTGACAATTCCGCCTCCTTCATTACCTCTCCCCCTGATCGCTCCTTGACCTTTCCCGTTCTAGCACTAGACGGAACGGAGGGTCGTCTCGAAGAAGGGCCGACCGGGCTGCTGCTAAAGGGACTTCTACCCTTGACCCGCTCTTGCCTTGGTTTCTGCGGGGAGAGACCACTGCCGTTACCGCCGCCGTCGAATGTTGCCCTTGAGGTAAAACCAAACTCATCAACGAGCACGACCAAGATGTCCTGCCCGGGTTCGGGCTCCTTCTCGAGCAGTGCGACATTCAGCACACCGATAATGCTTCCCCTTCCGTACACCCACTTTCTCGACACAAAGCCTCCCTCTGCCGAGTTCTTCATCCAGCCGATGCGGCTCTTCCACGGTTGTTGGTCGTACGGCATATACGCTAATATGTGGAATGCCTGACCCCCTTTCAGGGGCGTCTCATTGTCACGGGGCGGTGCCAGGTACGTCTGACATTGGACGAAGCCGCAGCACTTTAGCTGTTGTTCTGACAACGACCCGGCTTTGAACCTGAAGGTTGTCGTGTCGATGGGTCCCTGAAAGCTGGCGCGCGGCGCGATGGTGGGGAAGCAACCACCCGCATGCCTCAGAGACCTTTCTGCAACGCTGAGGTATTGGTCAGTGCCTAAAGCGAGCAGACCGTCCGTGGGACCACATCGATGAAGACCATACGTACGGTTGGAGACACATCTGCCCACGGACCTGCGCCAGCTTTCCATACAGGTCTTCCCACGACCCCACGACCGATTCGTCCCCATCCACGACTTTGCGACGAAAGTGCAGTTCGTAAGGGTGTAGCTGCACGTCGAAGAAAAACCACTGACCATCCCACTCTTCAATATCGGGGAAAGGGTATACGTGCATTGACAATGGTATATCGATATCATTTTGCCCGTCAAGGAGCGCTGCATGCTCTCCCCCCTCGTCGTCAAAGTACGCCGGTCTAACGAACTGCAGGCGAACCGCCCCGGCGAGATTGTGGCCTCGGATGAGCTGCCTATCGGCGGACGTAATAACCTCGAGCCCTTCCAGGCTGGAGAAGAACTGTACGCCCAGCGCGTTCAGGGAAGTTTGCCCGTAGCCCTGGCCCAATGGCGGGGGTCCTGCCATATTTGAAGGGCAAGGGAGACGGGTGTCGTAGCCGTTTCTCAGGCCGAATTAAAGTCTATTGAGGGCTGTGTCCCTTCTCGATTCGGCGACGACAGGAAATGATGGGTACAAGCGAACCAGCGCCCGTATCTGTTCTATTCGGATATGAGAAAAGAGAAGAGAGAAAAAGGAAAAGGGAATAGGGAAAAGGAGAGAGAGGCCGACTTAACATACCGGCCCTAATTGCCTTCCCTATACAACGACTGCCCTTGATAACGTGAGGGCGCCATATCACGAATTGATCATCTATGGTCTTCGTGAGACCGCCACAATTCTTGCGGTGCCACTGCATGAAACAGCGGCCCATGGTCTCCCGCGCCACAGCATCATCGTGTGCCTCAGTATAGGGGGATACGGTTCGTGGACACTTCATCTCCTCCACGTACTGCGTCGTCTCGGCCATACTCCGTCTCATGGCCTGACCGGATCTTCTACATCCGCTTTACATCCTCGAAGGTTGGCTTAGGCGGAACGCCCTCTTCTGTCCGACGATCCTCTTGACTCGGTTCACTTCTGATAGCCACCTTCGCGGGTTTTCTTCGACTCCAACACAACCTGCCAAACCCAATCATCGCTATGCCCGAGAAAGACATTATCCGTGTCCCCTATGAGAAGATTCGTCGTACAATGGAGAGCCTGGACGGCCGACGCGTACTCAACCGGGCCCGGCCACCACAACGGACATCGCGGCCGGCCATCCCGGGATCCCCAACATTCGAGGAAGCCATGCAGCCACGAAAAGAGCCGATCAGGGTTTCTCCTGAAGAGATACACCGCACATTGGAAGGCATAAATCGTCGGCGTGCCGAAGAACGAGCTCCGCAAAGACAAGACCCCGTTATGGTTCCACCCGACGAGATGCAGCGAACATTGCGAGATATAAATCGCCGGCATGCACATGAAACAGCACTGCGAAGACAAACAGCGGCCAGGGTTCGACGAGAAGAGGTGGACCGTACACTGGAAGACATGGTTCGCCGCCATGCTCAGGAACAGACTCAACAAAGAAAAGAACCACTCAGGGTTCCACCCGACGAGATGCGCCGTACATTGGAAGATATTGGTGACCGACGTACTCAAGAACGGGTCCAACTAAGAAAAGAACCACCCAGGGTTCCACCTGCTGAGCTGCGCCGTACATTGGAAGAAATAGACAGCCGGCGTGCACAAGACAGACCGCGAGAACGACAGCTTGCCGCGTCCACTCAGCGTCGCAATATGCCGGTGACGGTCTCTCCAGACGAGATCCACCGTACCATAGAGGACCTGGCACGCCAGCGTAGGGACGAACGAAATCGTCGGAGGGCATCCAACGCTGCACGAGCACAGCGGCTGACGACACCCGACCAGATACAGCTTCCCCCCCGAACGCCTCCCTCGGGCACACGAGTGCCGCGGCTAAGCAGACCCGACGAGAGACAGCGTCCCCCGAGGACGCCTTCCTCAAAACGCCCAAGAGAAGGAGAGGGCCTCTTGACCCCACCACCCACGCGGCCGGACCGCCGCCCTAAGTGGCCGCGTCCGTTAGGTGAGGTCACGGAGCTCCAACGAAAGTCGATCGAGTCTATTCTGCAACACTATGAGACTTGCTTTCGCGATAAAGAGGAGGCGTCGGTATCAAGATCCTGGTGCAACGAGGTCCCGCTTGCCGTCCAAGTGGAGGCGGCCAAGTCATTCTACCGAGCATTCACGGATGAGAAGACCCTACCGATTGCTCATTGCGTCTTCTGTTATAGGAAGTCAGCTCCTGGGGAACTCTCGACGATCCAGTGGCAGAGCCAGTTGACCCCGTCCTTGATGCAAGCAACGAGGGCTCTTCAGCTGTGCGCAAATTGCCTGCCACAAGACGGCGAGTGTTGGGTTGGCGTATGCCGCGAGTGTCGCGCTGGTCTACAGAACGGAAAACTACCTAAGGCCTGTTCAGTCAACAATATGCATATCGGATGCGAGCACCGGTACCCAAAAGAGCTTGATGACCTCTCCCCCGTCGAGGAAAGACTGATCGCCCTCCAGGCTCCTTTCGGGTACATTACAAAGTTCACCGTCGACAACAAGGCTCCTTCCGGCCTGAATCATAGGAAACACGTGAAGGGTCACATCGTTGTGTTTCCGAACAAGGTCGATGACCTTGTCGCGACAGTACTTCCCCATCCGTTACTGGAGGCGATCGAAAACATCCACGTCTCCTGGAGCGGCTCAAGCAAGCCCAGCCCTACAGACGTCGGCCATCTTCTTCAAGTCCGCAAGACCGTTGTGAGGGATGCTCTGGTATGGCTTCAGAAGAACAACCCCCTCTACAAGCACGTCGCGATCAACCATGACGAGATAGACGGTTGGCGGTACGAGGATAGCTCCAACGTCCCTACCGACATCCTTGAAATGATGCGACGAGAAGAGCCTTCGATTGCTGAAAAGACGCAGACGGACCACATCGTCCCAGCCACCGATAGGGGGTTACCGGAAAACCAGTCTACAAGTATTGAAGAACTTCTCGACTCTGCGCAACTTCATGCCGAGGAGCACCACCATTTCGAGACGTCACCTGGAGAGCCCGTTACTGCTGTTCGTGGCCAGGGCCATACCGATCCTAGCGGCGATGTCGTCTACGAGACATCATCCTCCGGCATGTTCCCTCTTGACGAGCCTGCCACGTTCTCGGGGGCCGCCAAGCTATCCTTCCTAGTAGATGCTATGCAAACGGACAGACACCGAGCTGACGAGAACTCTCAGCCATGCGGCATAGATGTAGAGACTGCGGGAGAACAGCCGTTCATCCGCGTGGAGCGGGGCTCCGACTTTGCCGACAACCTGCACGAAGACTTCTTCCCGAGGACGTTCCCTAAGCTTTTCCCGTGGGGAAAAGGCGGCCCGAAGGCGACGCCCGACACAGAACAGCACCAACAACGTGCCTCGGAGCCTGTCCAAACCCCTCCTCCAAACCACTCACTCAGCTACTGGGCCAAGTACGTGCTCCAGCGACACGGCGGCCGGTTTGCTACGCATCCCGTGTTCTGTTTCCTGGTCTTCAACATCCTTCTCCGATCTTCCAACCGCCGCATCAGCATGGTCCGCATGACAAAGGGTTCTTTCGACAGAGCCGAACAAGTCTATCAAAGCCTGACTGCGGACCAACTGAGAAGAGCCGAGGACGAGATGCGCCAGAACAGGACGACGACTGACCCCGACATATAATTCTTGCTCCGAGAGCTATCCATCTTTGGGCACGCCCAACCTCTCTCGAATGAGACTCGGCTGCTGATGCGGAGGAAGATACAGTCACTCATCGTTTGGACGGGCACGCCTGCGATTTGGTTTACCATCAACCCTAACGACATCAACAACCCCGTCAAGATGAGACTCTCAATCCACAGGCTACATGATTACGACATGGCGAAGGAGCTGCTCACCGATCTTCAAGGACGGTATGACAGGATCGCCCTGAGCACTCTGGATCCGGTCAGCTCCGTCATCTTCTTCCACCGTGAGATTTCCCTGTTTTTCGACCACTACGTCAAAGCAGGCAAGGAATCAGTTTTTGGAAAAATCAGTCACTATTATGCAACGGTAGAAACGAATGACCGAGGCAGCCTCCACCTGCATGGACTGCTCTGGCTCCACGGGAATCTGCAATTGCCATCGCTCTGCGACGACATGGCTGATCCCCAGGAAGAGGAGTACCGGGCCCGAGTGGCTCGTTATGTTGACTCTGTCTTTCACGAATGCCTGGATGAGAAGGCTGGACAGGCGATCCGGAAGGAAAGAAAACCAATCCAGCCTGTCGAGGAGATGATGAACAGCGCCGAAGCTCTTACGACCGCCTTTGAGGCCGAGTCCAACTACATTGCGTACTGCAGCCAGGTTCATGCCCACACCTTTACCTGCATCAAGTACTCTCTGAAGGGGACGGCCGGAGAGGATGGGGGAAAAAACCGGCGGACGGCTTGCCGTTTCAAAGCGCCGTGGAAGATTGTCCAGGAGACGGGCTTCTCGGAGGACGGCCTGCTCAAGACCCGCCGCAACCATCCGCTGGTGAACCGGTACAACAAGCCCATGGCGGTCGGGCTCCGCCACAACCACGACATCTCAATGATCTTGACGAGGACCAAGGGGCTGGCCATGATCTTTTACATCACGAATTACGCCACCAAGTTAGATACGCCGATGTGGAAGCGCATCGTCATCGCAGGCGAAGTCCTGGGACATCTACACCAGTCAGCAGATGGTACGCATCAGGCATCGGCTCCAGAGCGTGACGCTCAAGCCTCGGCCGTTCTCAACCAAACCCGACAGTTTTTAATGAGGACGGCAAATCGGATATTTTCGGATAGACAGCTCTCGGCCGTGGAGGTCTGTTACCACCTGCTCGGCTTCCACACCGACTTTACCAACGTGCCACGATGGTCTTTCATCAACCTCACAGCCCTGTATTGGTCCATCTTCCGACGATGGCTGCATCTTCGTCGCCAGTCTGGAGAGGACACTGACACAGACGAGCCACCTGAGACGATAGGCCTCAGAGAAAGCGGTCGGACGTTGTTGTCTCTGGATGCCTACGCCTACCGAGGTCCGCTTCTCAGAGGTCTATGCCTGTATGACTACATATCCATGATTAGCCTCGAGCGTCGTCGCGACCGAGAAGAGGATGAGACCCACTTTGCTCTTCACGGTCCCTCTCAAGAATCTGAGAATTGGATCCAGAAGCTTCGAAAACCCCTCGAGTACGCGGTGCCAATCCTCTAGGGATACATCAGCGACGATCACAAAGACGAGCACCCAGTCTACTTTAGGCGGTATCCTCCGAAGCCCGCCATGCTGATTCCAAGCCAGTACTGACCTGCCTAGAAACTCTGTCCTCCACCTGGCCTTGTTCGTGCCCTGGGATGACTTCCTCTCCAAGACTCACGGGGACATCACCGACATATGGACGAACCACGCCGCCGCACTCCCACCCCGTTTGCGAT